AACTTTCTCTACTACTCAAAAAGCAGCCAAGCCTATTCCACCTCTGTGAAGTCCCTTCCTAAAATCTTCTTTTAAAGGTGCTTTTGGTGATGTTGTCAGTCAGTGATAGTTCCAACGCTGAGTTGGCGCAATTTGAACGACTTGCATCGACGATCCATTCGCACCTTTATCTTGGAGTGTAACATCTAGGGGGACGCTAGTCGCAGTTTTGAATCATATTAAGTAGTGCATTCTTCTAGAAATCAAGGTAGTGAATCTTCATAGTACTTTGACTGTTTGTTTTTACTTTGTTTTGCTCCGTCTTTTGTGTTTTCGCTAGGTGGCACGACCTCCGGGTCATGCCAAAAGCTCCTCCACCCTTCTATATATCAGCAATACATTGTTGTCCTAGTGGTGCGTATTCTTTCGCCTTTAGGGAAGACTTGGGGCACCGCAATCGTATTTATTCATTCCCATACCTTCATAGGCTTGATTAAAGGCATAAAATGTGGCAGGTATATCGATGGGTGTGAAAATTAAGGGCAATCATCTTTTTGAATGTTAAGATTAAAGAACCACCACATCATTTATTAAAACAAACTCGACTGTTTCGTCAAGGGAGAAGAAAGTTGAACTAATTAAAGTCACTTTGTTGTTTATGTGTTGTGGGCGTGCTTGCCTCGAATTATTTGGGCGTGAGTGATAGCCCCCCGATCCCCCTCGCCCTCGCCCGCCTCCAAAATAAAAGCCAAAACTACGGGTGTGTGTTATGGTGGTGGTTTTTACAAAGAATTCAATTACACCTGTCATTAAGGCCAAGTTTATTTGTTTTAAAGCCCTACTTTAGCTCTATTATTACCACCGCCTCATTGCATGTGCCGAGGGTATAAATCCCACAAAAAAGGTTGACAGTCATGTTTTATTTTAAATCCACTTTCAAGCATTTTGCACCATTTTGTAACGATTTGGTGCTTTTACCCACAAGTCCCACACTGATAGAAGGAGCACAGAGCAACCAATGGAAATGTTTTACTTGCCACTAAAATGTGGTTAGCTGGAAACGAGGTGGACTGTGTCGCCTCATGAACGTGTTGGGGGTTAGCACCCACTTCAACAATCAAATAAACGCGAGAAATTTTAGCAAAAATAAAACACTTTAAAAAAGGGAGAAAAGTTTTTTTTTAAAAAAAGAGCTTATTTCTCCACTTTAATGTCGTTGGTGTACATAAGGGTCACGAGTGATACCGTCGCTACACTGCGATTTCTAGAACCTGATTGGTTGGTGGATTGGCCCTAATCTTTTGTGACTCTATAAGAAATTCCTTCTCAAGCAGGAAAATACAGATCTGTATGAGAAAGAAATTTTGTGGTTTTATCTTTGGACAATAGATTTATTCAGAGCAGCCTCAGATAAGGGTCTTGAAAAAGGGTCACCTTTTACGCGACTACTGTTACAAATTCCGGCTTTCCTGCATATCCACACAGCTTCACTTATCCACTAGTCAAGTTTGAACAAAATAAATGTAATACTTTGGCCACTTGTTTAGCTCTCCATTATTGTCCCTCAGCTAAGCGGCATTACCACCACGTCAATTCAGTAACCCTTCTGTACGGCCAAGCACTAGGACTACTTCTGGCTTGAAGAAAGACTCGGAGCTCTACATTGGTGGCAGCAGAAAGCATACTCTATCCTAAAGGACAATTATCCCAATTTCTATTGCTTAAAGGCATATGTTGCGGATGGGAGGACCCGCGATGACCTCCAACCGAAAGGTTGAAAGTGACATCTACGTTCAGTAACTAACCTACTCTCATGTTCTCCAGGATCGCCCATAACAACCGAGGCTAAGCTAGTTGTGAATTATCTGAAAAAGTTTACTGCAGATCTGTTCTTGGCATCTACATGAAGATGGTCAGCTAAGTGGACAAGTGATACCTTTTTTACCTCTCCATCTGCTGGATAGAGCCCAGGCAGGTATGGATAGGCAGCACTGACGTGAGAGCAAAGTGGGAAGGAGGAACACAAGCGGGACCTTATTTTAAAGAAACTTTTCGAAGCCGTGGCCTTTGCCAGTGCATTCTTCCTGCCCCCAACCCAGCTCCCAATGGGATGAAGCCCTGGATCCAATGAAATTGCCAGAAGGTATCAATGAATTCGCAGTTAGCTATCATCTAAGATGCAAGCAAATTCCAGGACTGGTGCGTTTGGTTGGCGAGTGTTACTTCTTACAGCACCGACTGTGCTGTGTTGGTCTATGCGGGAGGTTGATTAAGGTGGGGGCGCTGGGCACGACGCTGGAAAGATGACAGCGTCTATGTAATACGTTGGCTACTTGTTTGACTCTACGTTTTGTTTATGCGAGCACTTTAGGCTTGGCTTTTGTATCTCTGCTGGGCAGCATGGCCACCGGACCATGCCCTTAGCCTCCGCAACCCGTATCATTTTTTTCTACTTAGCCATTGCATTTTACGACCTAATACTGTGGCTTCCTTTGACTTCAGGAAAGACTGAGTGTGCTATATGACAAATATCTACATATTTTTTGAGGTCTCTGTAGGTGGACTGCCCACCACCTCACTTTTACTGACCACCCGTAAATGCATTCGGGGTCATTTCGACAAAGTTTAAGCATTCCTAAGTGGATATTCATAACAAAAAACGTAATTCACTAAATTTCACTTTAAGGTTAATTAGAAATTCTGTAATTTTCCTCACCAACTATAAATAGCAAGTGTACCGAACTTGAGGTGACAGTAATGAATGCGTGTAGCCTGGTTCTCTGCGGTGCCTGCAGGGCGGACCCTGTACGCAACCTGTCGGGTCCCGTAGGGACAATGCAAACGGATGAAATTACAGTCCATCATGTGGTTGAAAGAAAGTGCTTTTCATGTCGGGTGCTTACTTGTAAGGCACACTTCCTGCGATTCATCCGATTGTCAGAATAGTGAGGGGATTGTCAAGATGTGATTTATTAGTATCTCGATGCAGTTAAATATCATCATAAATTAGAACAAGTGATAAAATAATTTTTGTGCCGTTTTACTATGGCCCTAGTTGAATAATTTTTTATGACTTTTGGAGACTTTTAACAGACCCATTGCGCACACTATTGTTTTCACAGAAATGTCATTCTACCGACGTGATACTACTTATTGTGGATTTCAGCTCACTTTTAAAACTTTGTGATACCTAATGTAAGTTGACCCTAGTTGATATGGTTTTGAGCCCCTCTAGTTTTACTAAAACAGGTTAACTGGATTTGATAGATTCTGGAGCTAACTTCATGTCAAATTCGTTGCATAGCATTTGTAGTGTGTGCCAGCAGCTACTCCTATTCGCCCTTACGGTTAGTGATGATGGGATATTAGGTTTACACATACACCAACTGGGGAGGGAAAACCGTGAAGGACACTAAGGAGAAGATTTCTCCACAAATTTACTAGTAGTTGATGTCAACAGGCCTTAAAGACTACCCACTTTTTTCTGCACTTCTTCCAGTGTACATTTTACAATGCTGGACGCCTAGGTGGCTGGTCAACTGACTGATTTGTGGTGAGGAAGGGCATTTTAGCCCAGCTTTAAGTGATAAAACGCGTCATTTAGGCATCTTCAAAAAATCCATATGCTATGTAACAGCCGTTACAGCGAATAAAATATTTGGAAAAACTTTCTGTGACCATTTAATTCTTCCAAAAAAATTGTTACTGTCCAAAAATAGGGAGTTGCAAGCCGTCCAGACAATCGTTCAAGTCAAACCGGAACTCTAATGCTTAAAAGAACAATAAGGTAAAAGGTTCTGTAGAGAAATCGAGATTTTCTCTTCAGCACAACCCTCCTTTTCAGCTTTACACTTACTCTCCTCCAATCTTATTAGTGCCTGAAAGACTCGGAACTTCAAAGGTCTATTGATATGCTAAAAAATTCAAGAATAGCCTACTTGCTTACGTTTGTCTTGACTTCCAGTATGAAGTGGCTTTTAAATTGGCAGGTGCTTTCGTATTTCCAATGTTTTTGCAATTTCCTCACACCACAGAGTTTTGATACGTCAACATATGACGTTTACACGAATGCCTGCTGCGGCTATGACCTGGGTCATCACTGGTAACGGTGGAGGCGTTTTTGACATTTGTACATTGCTCAAGTCGCTCACAGTTGATTGACTGATAGTTCTATCACCTTATGGTGTCTGAAATCTGCCGCAGGTACGAGGATAAACCAGTGGGTGGGCAAGCAGACCCCACCACTGCAACCTGCCGTCTAGCCTGCAGAAGCCCTCGCCTACGGCACTCACTCACTCACATCCATACCCTCCGAATTGCTCCAAAAGCAAAAGTCCCCATTTTCACTTGAACACCTTTTTATGTAATTACAACGTAAAAATGGTCATACATTCTTTCATTTTATGTACCGTCGGTGAGATCAAAGCCACCTTTTTTGTAAAGAAGGTTGTATTTTCAGTTCACTCACAGACTTGTAAATTGTCCCGATCTTCTACCAATGATGTATAAATAACTACTGGTTAGCTCTCACTGTAATGTGGACAGATTAGATTTTGCTACGTGTCTATGCGATCTGGCTTGTCGGACAACCTCCGAAATCTTTGCAGTTTGGGTTACCAGCACACCTTTAAGCTAACGGTTCCGCGACCTTTCCATTGGTCATTTCCTCTCCAAGACATCTGATTTTTCATGTGATAGGTACCAGCGATTCCATTTCCTGACTGCGCAAAACTTCACTAGACATCTGGGATTGTTTGAAGGAGTAAATTAATCTATTTCTTATTTTTGCTTACTTTAAAAAAGTTTGATTAGGACATTTACCACTCTACTTGGAATTAATTGTCTCGTATTTACTTCTTTAAACCCGGACAATCATACAAGTCTTTATACTAGCAAACAAAATTCTATTGAAATATGTTGTTTTTTTTATTCAAAGTCACTTAACAGTTCTCCCTGTGAAGAATGTATACAAGGCATTTTTGTTTGTCTGTGAAAACTGTCCGAAATGCAAACGCCGGCCTTTAGTTCACTAACGCCATCTGTCGAGACATTTCGAAGTTGGTGAATCTTTCCAACTTCATTAACATTGGTTCCGGCGGCAGTGGCTCCTTTCTGTAGCTGTTTTTGTGGTCAATGATGACGTTTTTGAAAAGCCACTGGGGTAGAGAATTTTGACAGCAAACAATGGCGTTCTGTGTGGGTCCGTCGATGAAAAAGTGGCGCACGAGATTCCCGCGGTAGAGGAACTTTTTCTCCCCAATTCGGATTTCACAACCTGTACGGCTCTCAACACTGACTAGTTGACCTCCATTTTCGGCCAATCTCCGGGGAAATTTGTCCTTTTCTAGGGGATCGACTAATAAGAACATGGTATATCGCCACCATTTCTCTTTTTCCGGTGGAACATCTCGATCATCTAGTCGCTTTATATCACAAAATGGAGCTCCAGCACCACCTCGGGGTGACTTTATGCCAGGTCGTCGAGTAAATTTACACTTCTTCCAAGCCTGTTCTAGTCGAGCAAAACCGAGAGCCGTTGCATACACGTAGGGTATGGCTTTGGGGTAGCGCTGTTGCAAGTGAATAACACCCTTCTTTAGTGTTGTCGTTGGTATGTACTTCTTGAACATTGAGAGGAAATTTTTGGAACCATTTGCAACTTTCGCAGAGTGTCGAATGCTAATAGGCATAGGAAGACTATTGAAGCCCCAAGGAGGAAGCGGTTTTCTGACTTTCACAATGGCCCTAGATGATGGCTTTGCAGGCCCGTCTCTAGCATTGGACTTTCCGTAGGAATTTTGGCTAACTCGTCCTAACTGCTCATCGCCGTGTTCCTCAACTTTTTCGTCTTTCTTTCTCTTTCTGTGGAGTCCACAATTCCCCATGGCCAACTTACTCGCCCAAAATAAGTCATGTCAGTTGTCAAAATCAATAGCACATGTTTGTTGTTTAAATCAAGCTGGCGAGTGCTACGGTTTAAAATGCTGCCTTGGTAGTTTGTTTCCCCCTTCCCAGATGAGGCACTAGTAGAGGCGTATTGTTGACTGAAGCAGAATGTGTTGAGAGACAGGGAGGCATGCTGGTCGTAAATTGTTGCAAAGCTAGGGATAATGACTTCGGGAGCTGCATTACCCACCAGGTGATCAACTTTCCCAGACATTGCCGTTCCCCTCCACCTCTCTTAGCCTAATTACAAATGTATAAAAAGAGATTTGTGCCTTGAAGAATTGTTTTTATAAATTAGTCTCAATGGGTGAACAAATGAACATATGTTGTGAGGTTTTACGGCATGGCATGGCTCCACCTCCTCCTTTTGTGTGTCGTAAATTTTTAATCAGAGCTTTGCCTCAGACTCAGTACTTTACAGAAATAAGGAGCGTAAATATTCACCTTACACTTAGAACCCTTTTTTACTAATAAAAAATTATGCAGGAGTCATTAAGTTATCCACCCAAGTCCTGATTTACAATCCTGATTAATTCATTAACTGACCCGATCACTTACGTCGGTGCCACAACAATCGCTGCCTGTAATTGGGCTTTCGCAATGTGTCGCCCCATTTCAGATTCCTTATGGTTATTTTTGAGGTTTGTTCAGAGAAGGAAGGAAGCGGATTTTGAGTGTTTCCTCTATTCGCTTCCGCTTCTCCACCTTCGAATGTCACTATGCTGTGCCGCCTGATCCCTCACACTTCTCGGGTTTAACCACCTTCTTGAGAACTTCTTGAGCCGACAATTTTGTCTTCCGTCGAAAAGTGTATTAACTTCGCAGAGAAGGGTTGTTTGGTTCAAAGAGAGGAGTTGTAAAAATGGTAGATAAGTCAGTCGAGATTCCACATGATACGATTGCGGTTAAGGAAGGATTCAGGAGAAAATTGGAGTAAATGAGGAAACATGAAGGAAGTACAATGTAGCAAAGACCTTTGCTTCATAATTGCATTGCATTTAATTTCCCATCCTGTTATATCTGCATACTGAACCTAAGAGAATGACAGATTCAGGGAACCGTTAAACCATAAAAACGCCTCTTGCATTGTTTTCGGCTAAAGTGTATTTTGAGAAGGGCGTAATTAATTATATGCAGGACACGCTTGCTTGATGTGCACTGCGTCCCTTTCTTTTCCTTATTACAGGTTTTTTATGCCTCTGCATCCATTTGCAAGTTAGGGGTAGAAGAAGTTTTGCAGCAGAGCTAAAAATAGTCGACCTTAGGAAAAATACAAAAGATGTTAATATCCTAACTCGTTAATGAACCGAAGAGCACAGGTGAAATCATTTCCTTGTTTAACTTAATTTGCCTTATTTGTGTCTTGAGAACCACCAATGTCAATTAACCTAAAAAAAGTCGTTCTGTAGCCAAAGTGCCAATTGTCTTCGAGGGTAAATGTGCGTGCCAGATTTAATGCTTAGTCTTTTTGTCACCATGAAGTAGAGGGGGATTAAAGATTGTTCCAAATGAATTATGGACTGGTCTTAATGAGCCTTTATTAGTGGCATGGGGCTGGGAAAAGGTGAGGCTAATTTAAACAGCTACTATTGTGACTTGGAATGGACTCGTGTACGCAATATTTGCATAGACGATCCACTTGTTTACACTGGCTAATTGGCATTCACAATCATTTCGTTAAAGGTTTATTTCACAGTAATTCTAATATCAGACCAGCAGTATATCTCAACCAGCCCACAATTGCACCTTGATGGAACAAATATGCTGTAAGTTAAAAGTAATACCTCCACGTTAAAATATATTCAGCTTAAAACAAGTGCGCGGAAAGAAAACATTTCTTGAAAAATCATTGAGGAATACTGCTTCGAATAAAGATGAAACACAAAGCACTGCGATGAACAATAAAATAAGTAAAAAGTAGATGTAATACATTGGTCGTTTGACCTCCGGTTATAATGAAGTGACACTGTCTTGGCCACTGTGTCTTGCCGGGTGGGCTGAACTCCAGGCCATGCCAATATCCCCGATGCCTATATGCCGAATGTATATATTCTGCCCATGTATTATGTCTTTTTTAGTCTTCAGGGAAGTGTCGGGGCTCCCACATATATCCATATAATTACTGGCAATTAGTCTACTCATAACATTGCAAAATTCAAATAGTTAACGTACAATAAATGCTACTCTTGGATAAGAGATTTCTGCCTTATACCTTTGAGTAGCCCATGCTAAATCCTGTGTATAGACATGCACATCATAACACTAAATGATTTGTATTTGTTAAACTCTTATAACTTGTCTTCAGTGCTTCCACTTTACGTTCAAACTTTTGATACTTCAAATGACTTGCGCGTACTTTGAGGATTCCGATTCGGGTGTGTCTGCTGAGTTCTGTTTTAAGGTGCAATACGTGCAATAATTAGGCCATAGACAGGACCATATTGTTCAAACTTTGCTAGCGGTAATATTTTATTAGGTTTTGTTGGGCGTCTTTGGTTGTTTGTAACAGCATGGCTTTGTCTATCACAGATCGAATTCGCGTTGCAAACATTATTCTCGTTGTATTATAACGCATCTTAACTACATTACATATGTTGTCCCAAATTCGTTTTCTTGTGGGGCTACTAGTTTGCTTCTCTACTTGTCTTCGGTCTTCTGTGGTCGCAACAGCATATTTCTTTTTGTATGTACTTGTCTTTTTGATACTTTTAGAATGGCTGAAATTGTGGAACCAGAACATGCAGATGATGAAATTGTCATCCAAATGGCCCCTTGGGGTGAATTTTTTGTCTGGGTAGCCAGGCGTGAGTCGGCTTTATTTGCCCCCTATTTTATTTCTGTTGCCTCTCCCATTTATATGTTGCCTATCTTGGCATCGATGAAACGCCCCATTAAATGTCTCCTCTTGCTTGTATGTGTTTGAAGTGCAAGCTAACCTTCAAAAATTTTGAAATGCAGTGGCATCTGTACTTCTTTTATCAGCATAGAAAATTTTTTTTTGGACCACTACTGCCGTGAACATTAGTGGCTGCTGATTAGGCCATCTGACATTCAACCCCCTTGCCAATCCTAGATGTGGAGCGGCTTCGCCGAGAACACCGAATCGTTGGCCACCTTTCCGTCTCGCCCTCTGCCACCTCAGGACCGTCGTCGTCGGTGGCAACGAAGGCTTCCTCCGCATTCACTGTTCGTCTGCCGCTGCGCCTGAGCCTTGAAGAGACCGCTCTCCTCCTTTTCCGCCGCATCGTCGTCGCTATCGACTCCGTCCGTCCTGTGTGCTCCCTCAATCCACCCTCGCCTCGCACCCTAGCTCGATTCGACTCCGCTCTCGCCCTCCACTATGCCGAGTCGGTACGTCTCTTGCTTAGGATTTTGTACGGGTTAAATTTCCCTTTGTAAACAAGTGCAGGAACCTAGACGTTACTTACTGCCGCTCTTGTTCATTTAATCGTCTGTGCAGTTTTTCTCGTCTGATATTCAATATGGAGATAATTTATTCAAAACTAGTAACATGCGATGTTTTGATGTTCCATTGTTTTGGGAATTGGGTGTAGAAATCGATTCCGATCATTTGTCTAGTTGATAACTGACTCTACTGACTCAATAGCTTTTAATAATTAAATTACTTGTACATCGTCGTGAAAATTTATGCACTTTGTTAGGACACCACTTTTTGGTCTTCAAGGTGCAAGCTCTTAAAATCACCGCTTGAACAATTTCCCTTTTATAGAATAGCCAGTTTCATATTAGGTTTTTTAACACAAGATGGAGATTCACAAGCAACGGAGACGCCAACGAATGCTCAGCTACTACGGTGAGATTCTCAAGGGCAGAAAAAAGCGAAAGGCACGAGAAGCTGCCAAGGCTGGCAGCAGCTGTTCCACCGATGTTGGTGGTAGCGATCAAAAAGTCCTTTACGATGAAAATGGTACTCCTTTTATCGCCAATTCTTCTTCACTGTGCTATATGCATTCGATCATTTGCGCATTTCTTTCAAGGAGTGAGACTGTCGAAGAAGCGCCTTAAAAAACTACAGCGTCGAAAGCGCCGGAAAGTTGCCTCAGTGATGGAATCAGCATCGGAATACCCGGAGGAGGGTTGCCTTGATGAGCAGGCAGAAGTTAAGGAGCAGGAAGACGAGATCAATGAACCCCTGCCGACTCTTGAAGAGTTGATGGGGACCACATCTACTGATGATGAGAAGATGACTAAGTACATTCCCCTCCATCGACCCCGACCGACACCTCAGGAGTGGAGACGTGATGGTGAACACACGACTCTCCCCGTTCCCGATGCGGCTCGTGACAGCGTTGAGAAAGGTGCGGTGATTCGAAGTTATTGATGTTTTGTTCTACCTTAGTGGCACTGTGGCTCCTTGAGATTTCATCGAAATCGCAGTTGGATAGGAATAAGGACGTTATCGTCAGGTGCAGAGTTTTTGATGATCTCTGGTCGAGAGGCTTCTACATCACCTGTTCAGCTTCGAAGATGGGTGGTGATTTTCTCGTATATCAAGGTGAGTTACCTCTATCCTGTTGAAGTGTCGTCTGTTTTCTACTTAATTCTAACTTTGTAAGCTGTTTGACGTTGACTTAAAAATCATAGGTTTCATGCGCTTTTCGGCCTTAGTCGCTCTAGTGACTTGTAACTTGTGGAGATTTGTAAGGTGGATATGATCATCTATATGAATGGACTCAAAAGAACAGATATGCCTCAATTTGTTGACATGGTACTGCTTTCTTATTTCCAAATCCTCACATCATCGATTGTCAGTTGAACATGGTGTAGTTAATTTGAGCCTGTCAACTCCATGAAGTGGGTATAACCATGTTCCAAAACTTCTCGTCATATTTGCTGTGTGACCTCTTGAAAAGAGGTGATATTGGAAAGCAGAACGAAGCACCCTAAAAATGGCTCGAAATTTCCGACTCTAAAGGTGAATCACTCAAATATAGATACGCCTCACATTCGGAAAGTTCCTCTACTCTTGGTAATGAAGACTATCGACACGGAAATTCAAGATGGTCGTGGTGAAACAATTGGTTTAAATCGCAATTAGGTGGGGAGAGATGCTGCTCTAACAAGCCTGTCGCCGCTGTACTAACACAAGATGATAAACTTCTTTCAAGTGTCCAATGACTGACTGACCGTTTAACCGTCCGACTAACTGGACTGAGAAATTGCCCTTATGATCCAACTTTAAGTGGGCACACTTCTGAGGCTCCCGTCACCCCATCGTCATAAGGTAATGCTTTCTTCGTCCTTGTGTGTGTGTGTGTGTGGTACACTGAAGGCAAAAAAGCTGTGACTGGGATCGGATTACTCGAAGGCTGTGAATAAGAAACTTCATTTGAAACAGTCACGGCTAGCCAGTTAGGCAGAGTTAAGACCAACTTTCACTGGCAAACACAACGCAAGGCTCCGTTCCGCTGCAGGAATTAATTGTGGGAAGATTTGCATGGATGAGAGGAAGGGAGGACGGGAATCACTACCTTTCCTTGACATCAGTATTTGACGATCATTTGAAATCGAATAGGCCATTCGGAAATAATGTGGAGAAAGAGTGAGATTGTTTGGTTTTAGCAACAAAAGGTTTAACGCAAGTGGAGTTCGCCTCGAGTTTGTGTCTAGCGTAGGAAGGCTCGAATTATGGGTTGTAATGATACCTTCCTTATTGACCAAGATGTTTAAAAAGATTCCCTTCATTTACTTCATTCGTTGTGAAATTTGCATGAACGATTTGATATAGGTGAATTTCAGGGTCTCTTTTGAAACAACTTTCCTCGATAGCCTGGTGAAAAGTTCGCTAGCTTTACCATTTTTGAGTTTTGTGGGTAACCAACAATTTCTAGTTTGACTAAAATGTGGATTTTTTTGCACCATTTTCTAAAGAAGCATCTTGAGAGAACATCGGCTGTCGGGCGGTTCAGGGGAGTGGGTGGTACTTTCCTTTTCCACTGGAATGAACTGTATTTCCGTTTTAGGCTGTGTTTTCTGCATCATTTTTTTCCGCTCGCATCTCGAAAAAACCTTTTTAATTGAATTCGAATTGTAATTTTGTAAGGTTTGAAGGTTTTAATCGTCTTATAAAGTAATTTCTCTGCATTTTCATCCAGTCCAAATATTTGCTTTCGGGAAAATCGAATATCTCAAAGGTGACCACGTTGGATGCTTCTATTTTTTTTCATATTTCTCAAAATATAGTTCTGTATGATAGAAATTTTGGCAGTGCCTACTACTTCATGCCAGTTCCAGCTTTTGATACGTATATCTCTGGACATGTCTAACGATTTCGTCGTTTGTTTCCTCCACCTCCGGTTTCAAACGTCTAGATCGAGATGAGCGGTTTGTGGACAGCATTGGTACAATGCAAAAGTATCCAAGCGGCTAACGTTTTTAGAGTAATCTGATTTCGCCTCCCCCTTGAGGGTCGATGGGGCCCCTCCGCCTCCTAATCTAAAAGGTGTTTTCAAACCAGCGGTCACTAACCGCTAAAGGTTCAATTGAATGTGTCAGTGACATGTCGCGATTTTAAATCTGAGTTAATTGCTCATAAATCTCGAAGATAATAAGATTTTTTGACATGAACTAGTTTCTCTGAGTAAGAATATATCATTTTCAGCTTAATAAACCTGATGGACATCTTAGAGCTCTCGCTTTTAAAGAGCCAAGTTGAGATATTCTTCTGAAATAATTTGCCTGTGAAGCCTAGTTTAACTTTTTCCAATTTACCAATGCCCAAGCGCTGTTGCAAAGGAAAGCTGGATGGTTACTTTGGTACTTTGGGATTCTATTTTTACCTTTTTATGGTTTTTTCAACAAAACTATTTAAATCCAGCGGCAGTTGCCTCCGCACCATCTATCAGTTGAGCATTTCCAAACCACTGAGTGTCGAAGGAGTCGGATTTATGACACTTCACGGTTTTGACCGCTACTTGTGACGTGCAGATTGTAACCCCTCGAAACTTCTCTGAAGACGAAAGAAGACATAATACTTTAGCAGAATATGCATCGTTGACGTACAGAAGGGATCGGGCTACCATTACGGCCCGAAGGCCTGGTCACCCGCAGGCGACACAATGGTGGAGCTCCTATGTGGCCCCGTTACCAAAATTGAGAGTCAAACAAACAGCTAACCCCTTACATAGCCCCTCTCTCCTTTTGAGTGCCATCCTCGACTCTCCCCTTGGTCAACCTCCCACATCGGCTATCAAAACGTATTTGGTGCTGTAAAGCGTGCAACTGAGAAGACATCTGACCGCAACGTCAGTGATTCCTCCTGCCAATTCCACCGGGTCTGGTGTTTCATCCTATATAAGGACTGTATTGGAAGACGGGAAAATGTGTTGACCACCACGCGCGTCCATTGCCAGTGATGGGACCACTGACCTCTAGGCAGAGTCATTTACTAAAGGTCGATGCTTGAAATAGCTTCGTAGGGATAAGATTTTGCGCCTCCTCCTCCCTTCCACATTGTCCCCACCTCAGTTCCACCTGGCCATATCTCTCTGGATTCTACCCAGCTGGTAGACACCTTTATACAGGCACCGTAGACAGCTCCGCAGCAAACTTTTCCGGATCGTACAGGCCCACCATGCTTTCAGTTGCTGGTGGCATTCCCTCAGAACACAGGACCAGGGTAGTTACCGAAGGTAGACTTCATTCTCAACCCTTTTGTTAAAAGTCATTACATATTTTTTTCATCCGCGATATGCCCTTCTTCCAACACATGAAGGTCTTTCACCGAGAGGTAAATAGCAGGCTAGTTATCCTCTAGGATTGGGCTTACTTTCCGCTGCCATCAATGTGGCAGATTACTAATGTTGACATACGGAAGGAATTGCGCTTCCGGCATGACCTGGATGCCAGGCCGCCCTTCATTGAAACAGAGTTAAGCAAGCAATCTACTACACAGATAACTTAAAGGAATATAAATACGACGTTTTTTGGTGTGATTTATCTCTGCTTGGTAAAAGTTGATTAATGAAGTTGTGTTGCCTCTAATTTTAATTATTCCAAATTCATTGAATACGAAAAAGTTGAAGTTCTATTTTCTATCAGCTTGATCTGTGAAAACTCTACTCATTCTGCTACTGTATTAGCAGACAAATGTACGGTCTAAATACCAACATTTATTGTAGGACTGTTCATCACTTCAATTCTTTACACGGATTGGTACAAACTGTTCTACCTCTAAGGAATGGCGTTTCTCAATTCTCTTGTCGATATTATTGCTTTCAATTGATGAAAAGTCTATGATCGGTGTGATTTTAGGTGACCCGCTCTTTTATCACGCGAGCCACATAGTCATGGTAAATCCGCCCCAGGCACCGATCTTCCTCAGTCGCCTCTCCGCCTCTCTGCGAATCGCCAACAGCGTTCGCAAGGCCCTCGTTCTTGCCACCACGGCCGCGGACGATGACCATGGCGTTGCCTACACTTCGCTCTACTGGATGGGCTTCCACGCTCCGTCTGGTGATGTACAGCATGTCTAATCAAATAGAAACTTCTGCTTCTTACCTGTCTCAGGCCTTTTATTTCATTGTCGCAGGCTTGCTGCATGTGAATGCTACTGAACAGATCTTTCAGTAGGTGCGATTTTTTATCAGTTCTGTACACCTCTGGGCGAGCAAACAAAATGTTTCGAATTCGTCATCAGACTTTACTGTTAAGTCGATTTCTAATTTTACACAAAAATGCAAAACCAACTAGTTCTATACATACTTTGAAGGACCAATCCATAGTATATTTATCATTCAAATCACTATTCTTATTACATTGTTCTTCAGTCTACAAAGGGAGTAAGTGGTTAGTTTTGATTTTTCTCTTTTTTTGGAGGTCCAAAACCAGCGATCTGTAATGGATTGGTTGTTTAAATATTTTCGTGATGATAGCTAATCATTGCGTAGACTAGGAATGGTGCCATTGTCGGAGTTACTTTATTACCCGCTTTTTATGTTTTCAAGTCTGAATTATATGACTTCCTAGTGTCAATATTACGCAACCGTCTCTGGCACCTGTTTATCCGTCTGTTATGAAAGTGCGGTGCCACTTTCTTTGAGGTATCACATCCGTTTCCATTTCTGCAGCTATCATCTTCCTTGTATCCCCTTTAGTCTTAGCTCATGCCTCTCAGGTGGATACTTTTCAGGGTTTAGGCCACCAAACCGTTGGCGCATTACGTTCTCTAGCGGCCACATTTTGGTCAAGCAATTTTGTTGGTATCTGTAGAAACAACGGTTGTTTTTGATCCCCAGTCTCAAGCAAATAGCTTTCAAACAATGTGATTGGAGGTTTAAATTTACTGTTGAATTGGTAAAAAGTATAACATTCATATGAAATGTAAGTGAGCCAAGTCTTTGAAAATTAGCATCTCGTTTGATGGGCCAGTCTCTTGGTTGCACCAAAATAGCAGGTAAGCCGTCAATTCCTATGAGGTGTTAAATGTCTATAGAACTCTGAGGAAAATTGGTAATCGCCCCATTTTTTCACTTCTACGCCACATGCCTCCAGACCAATGGACTTTGGAGAAACCGATTTAACGGGTTATGGAGGAGTCTTCGATGAAGATAGCGACATCTACCTTAATAACCGCTACCACTATGATGACGAGATGTACGAGGGCGGCTTTGATTACTATGAGATGCAGGACGTTGACAAGGGCTTTGCCGCCTTCTGCGGCAGCATAGTGAGGCAGGTTTGGCCAAACATTTGGATCAGTCTTGTCGCCTGTCTGGTGTGGAGGGGCTGTCAAGGTCTCTTCCGCCTCCTCTTGTCTTCCACTACGACTCCTAATTATCGTGAGCGTCTTTTCTTTAAAGTGTTATATTTTTTCACTTAGTTTGTTAAAATCAGTTGAGGTGGATTCATGTAAACTATGTGAGGCAGCTTTAATGGGGCTTATGGCTTTTGCTGGGACCATACAACTGGTCGAGAACAAATGCTTGATTTGTAGGACTAATAATGTTTGTCTTAACCAATTTTTCAGAAGTTTTAGTGTCATACTAATGGTAAGGTTGGGGTGTGGAAAGGCTACAAAGGTATTTAGCGAAATGAATGTATACTTGTCTTCTGCTTCTCTCGTGATTTGATCTTCCCGATGGCATGAGGCTTAAAAGAATGGAGCAGTATTTTCCATCCCAACTGGAGTTCTGATTGTCTTGTGGGGCGATTCTATGGGTTATGCGTTATGAGGCGGGAATACGTCTTGTGTGAATACGAATAGAGCCTTCTTTCAAACCATTGGCTGGTCACCTATTTCTGGAGGCGAAGAAGGTGGTTCTCCTGCACATCTTCCAGTTGTAGCAAGTTGCCTTGAGTAAGGTAGATCTCAGCCATAATTGTTTGGTCTTCAGAAAGTGAGCAGTTGCCTTTGCAATACATATATGGAGCAGGTTTGGCCTTTTGGGGAGTGGGTAGAGAGCGATTACGGCGACAAGTTAACGCGAACTTTTCGACCACTTGATAGTTTTAGCTCTTCTCTATGGGCAGAATAAAGCCACTAGAAGTGGTTTATCTACTAACTTACTCAGGGTTGGTTCGAGTAGTTACAGGTGCATAAAAAGAATTGCTATCTCAGCGCAAAAACTTGCCTAACCGTCGCTAAATTGAGTCGCATTTTCTGGAGCAAAGTTGTGGAGTGAATCCCAACTCCTTTTTTTATGCACTAACAAGGTTACTTTTGCACTCGTACCCTTGATGCCCTTCCCAGGAGCATCTCGGCACCAGTTGGTTTTAAATTCACGTTGACGGCAGTCTTCTGAACACATTGATAGGTAGCTACTCTCAGTGTGTTCCTATTTCTTGAAAACACACATGCAGAGTCAATCACAATGTTTCCAGCCGTAGTGATGCCCATGGTTGGGGCAAAAGCTGAGGAGAATTGCATTCGACGAGCATTAAACAACGATATTGTATTTTATTTGTACATGTTTGATATGATTGTGCTGGGAGGGGTAGCAAAGAGTCACATCTAAGTGTGTGGGTGTCTGGTAAGCTAGTAACTTCGTCAGTTTAGTGAAAAAGCTACAATCCTGGATTGATGATATCGGCGAATACTAATGGAGGATAGCATTCTATCACTCACTTGTTGATGAATGGAAGGTATGCTGGGAGCGCCAAATTCTTTCCTAGACGTGTGTACGGGAATGGGAATAAAACTCTCTCTTAGCTATGACCTGAATGAAAGTGGCCGTTGAAATAGTCCTCGAGTCGTAGGTGATTTTCTCATTACGGAATTCCGAAAGAATTGGTACATTAGTAACTAGGCGATCGGCAAAAATAAGGTGTTTGAATTACAAGGAAAGGTAGGTACATTATTCATGTAAATGTAATAATCACAAGTTTTTGGACGCCTAATGTACAGGCTCCGTGGTAAACTTTCTGTTTTAATTTCAAGTAGCAGTACGTAGCGTCCCGAGTTTTTCTGAAGACGAAAGAAGTCACAGTATAAGGGCGGGATATGTATCGCCGGTGTACAGAAGGGTTGAGGCCATGCCGCTCAGCGGAAGTACAAAGGCAGAGCCTTCAATTTCCTCTCCTCTTTAGAGCGTCCTCTCCGGCACTTTTCTTGGTCAATCTCCCTCATCGGTCATCACGAAGCGATCGGTGCTGAAAGGCAAACACTTGCGTACCACCTGAGTTAGTCACCGAATTCGCGTACAAATGAGGAGATATTTGACTGCAAAGACACTGACCCCTCTTGGCAATTCCACTAGATCTGCAGTTCCGTCCTGTTTGGAAACTGTACTGGGGGAAGACGGAATGTGCGGGCTTTCTTGTATCTCCATCGCTAGCCGTCAAAAAAATTGGGCCATAAACAGAGTCATTTAATACAGGACGGGGTTTAAGATGATACCATGGAAATAAGGTTTTGTGTCTTTTTCTACTTGACGCTGTTTTCAACCCAGTAATGCCAAGCCATACCTGTCTGGGTGGGTTCCATGTGGCTAGTGGGGAGGTGGAGGAGGTACCGCGTGTTCGCTCAGTTGGCACCATTATACTGGAGCCATAGACAGCTCTGTAATGACCTTTTTCAGATTATTCACGGCTGATGTTGCTCGCTTCATTTGTTAGTGGCATCCCTGTAGAGTACATGACTTGGGTAGTTGCCGAAAGTGGACGTCCTTTTCATCCCTTCGGTTAGAGACAGTCACAGTTTCTCCCATCCACAGCATATGCCCTTCTTCCATCACGTTGAGATTTGGCAATTACTGGTGGAAATCAGGGTAATTATCCTTTGGGATTGGATCCGCTTTCAGCTGCCATCATTGTAGCGCTCCAAGTCTTTTCTGAAGGCGAAAGAAGTCACAATACTGGGGCAAAGTATGTTTCATCGACATGGAGAGGGGCTGATGGAGGGGTTACTGGCATGGTCCGAAGGTCATGTCCCCCAGCGGAAGCACAAAGGCCGAGCTATAAGTGCCCGCGTAACCAAAACAAGAAGTTGAACACACAGGCAAAATATTACAAGTAAACCTTTCCTGATACACAGTTCTCAAAAGTCAATCCTTTATCCCAACTAACTGGGGTTATCCTCAATTATCAAATACATTCCCTCCTTT